GTGGCTTATTCGTCGGCCGCTTAACCAATCTCCGCCGTTTCCACCGCCTACCTTCTCCTCCTTCCTCCATTGGCTCGATCAATCGCCCTTCTCTCAATCTACCCTTATCTTTGCCGCCTCTTATCCACAAGTTCTCCCTCGGGCGTTTCCACACTCACCGAGTCCGTTTCTCCGCCGCAGATTTTGTTCCTTCTTACAACCAACGGCTACCTGAAGAATGGTCAGAACTATTCCAATCTCTCTCCGAAGCTGGTTACTTCTCAGATTCCGGTTCAATTTCCGGTTCCGATAGCGAATTCTTTCCCGGTTTTCCAGATGAACTCCTCCGTCCAGCTCTCGCTTGCTTAGCCCTAGCTCGTGATCGACCCGAATTACTTGAGTTAGTAAACTGCAATTCTCATCTCTTTAAACCCTTTTAAACCCTTTCTCCTTGATTGCTTACAATTTGAGGTTTTTGTTCTTACTGTTATTAGAATGCTTTCGAGGAGAGACGTTGAAGTGGTGGTGGAGAATGGGAAGCCATTTTTATTTAAGACAGGTCCAGATTCACTCAGGAAGATGAGTCTTTACCTTAGAAGTGGTCGTCAGGGCATTGGTAAGGTAAGTTGTATCTAGCAAAAAAGCTTAATCCTTTAATGGTGCTTGGTGTAACCTCGGTTCAATGTTAGATTGTGCCCTAATGTTTTGATCCTTTGTGTTTCATATTAGATACTGGATGTGGATAAGGCAACTACAGTCGATTTGATGAGGCTTCTTTTGAGTTATGCTGTGGATTTTACTTCTTCTGAGAGAAGCAAACTCTATAACCAAGAGATGGAGTCCTCGGTTCGAAACCTATTGAGTGAGATAGCAAAGATGAGCTTCCGTACTCCAGAGTCGAATGTTCATGGCACGATGCAAAATCAGTTCTCAGATAGAAATGGACAAGGGTCCTTTCAGAAAAACATTGAGATGAAACGAGGTGACTGGATTTGCTCGAGGTATGAATTTATTGCATTCTCAGTAGCCTTTTGATATTAATGTCCACTGGCTTGTAAGTTGCCATTCTTCTATGGAAATATATAAGGATAACCTACCATAAGGAATTCTTCAGGAATTAGCTTGAATTAGTATATGATTGAATGTAAATTAAAGTAATGGGGTTGAAAGATCATCTTTAGAGCTAGAAGTCAGTATGTTTTAGTATTTTTTCATCTTGTTGTTGTTTATCGAATCTCTATATGATGTTGGATTTATTGAAACAGGTGCAGTGGCATGAACTTTGCTAGAAATGTCAAATGTTTCCAGTGTGATGAAGCAAGACCAAAGAGACAGCTCACTGGTAGTGAATGGGAATGTCCCCAGTAAGCAATGAATCTTTTTCCGCTGCTTTATGTTTAATGTGACGGTGAATCTGAGTTTAACCTTCCCTTTCCTTCTCTGTTATTTCACTTATCAGATGTGATTTCTACAATTACGGGAGGAACGTAGCTTGCTTAAGATGTGACTGCAAGCGACCTGGGGACTTCTCACTCAATTCTTCAGCCAACTCTGGTTATTCAAACGACCCTGAACTTGAGAGAAGACTGGTCGAAAATGAAGAGAAAGCGCAGAGGTGGTTTAGTAAAGTAGCACAGGGTGGTTCTGATGCCAACAGTGTTGATACAGATGAAGATTTTCCAGAGATTATGCCTTTGAGGAAAGGAGTGAACAGATTTGTTGTTAGCACAAGAAAGACACCTCTTGAGAGAAGGTTGGCTAATGCTGAGAACAGTGTAGCTACAGATGGTAGCTCGAAAGTGAACGACGAGAAGGCTCTAGGAAGTAAAACAAACAGGAGCTTGAATGAGATCCTCTCTTCGTCCTCTTTGGTTTCTAGATCGGATGACAAGAATGTTTCTTCCAGGAGGTTTGAATCTTCCCAGGTAACAAACACCAATTTTGTCCCGTTCGTGCCACTACCTTCAGATATGTTTGCCAAGAAGCCTGATAATGAGGAAACACACATAGGTCTGACCAACAAAAACCAAATAGATGGTATCTCAGACGACAATCGAAATGTCGATCAAGAGGACAAGTCAAATG